CATGAAAACTTAGATTTTCAGAGAAAATTAAATTGTTTCCACAATACCATCTGTTTTACATTGAAATCATGAACCGATCATTGTTAGACCATTATTAGAAACCTGGTAGCATGAGATGGTCGTTTCATTCTATTGCGTGACTCATCAGTGGCAGTGAACATCCGCGACCACCACTCACGGGAATCGAACCAAGGACATTCGATCTCGTACACGAATGCTTGTCCTCTAGACCACTAAGCCGACAGCATCCAACTATGTTAATGTCTAACTTGGATAAATCCATGGAAATCATTGTAATTCACGTATAATGTCTGATCAATTGCTAACCTACTTTATTCCAGTAATATGTATTGTATACTTATACTGTAATGGAACACTTCTACGAAGAAAACTCGATTGGTGAAAAATAGACATTTATTACTGTACTCGTTTTGTTTAACTGTACCAAAAACACTTACTTGCGTGCAATGTACCTTTTACGTGTTGCTGCCATTTTTCATAACTTGCTGCTCTCCATGTAATGCCTACTTATTCCTTCAAATACATTTACGACCGTGGACTTATTTCTATATTATGTGACTAGATAGTATGAGATATTTACTGATGATCATAGTTAATCTCGACTTGGTCACCAATAAAATACTATCAAAAACCGAATTAACATGCATCAAATAGATCCTAATGTACAATGTTTTTCTTAACTAAATACTAGTCTTGTTTTAACAAAAATTTCAAATGCGTTATGTAAAAGAGAGTTTTCTGGTTTTTGCTTAACTGCAATTTCATTAATTCAAACAGTTAGCAAGCAGGTCAAGTAAACACACTAAATATTCTTGTGATTAGTAGCGACTTGCATATCTTTTCTGCTGTCTATTCTATTATGCTTTATCACTCTGTTACATCGTGATACACTAATTAGCGTGTAAATGATTATTTTGACAAATTTTACCAATTTTTTTAGCGCATATTTGCATTGAATTGAATCGTTGATTTCAAATTGAATGAAGTTGACAAATATCGTCGTAAACTACCGACCTAATTATCACTTGTTTTTGTCTTTTTTTTCAAAGCGAAAAAAAAGTTGTTAAAACAAAACATTAATCTTTTTTTAGTGATTACTAAATTATGTAACGACATTGTGTGTGTTTTTTTTTAAAAAAAATAGTTTACCACTATATAAAAAGAAGCCAATCTTCACACTTCACAAACTAACAGGCATATCCATTTGAATATACTGCTGATTCCAAAAAGAGAACGTATAATTGTAAGTTTCATTTTCGTGTTGTAGTATATTTTGGTTGTTCAGTAAAATGATAAGTTGATATTGAGAAGACTGAGGCAGGCGCGGAAGATTGTATTATACAAATTTACACCCTGAGTCAATTAAAAACGAAAACATTACATTGAACACTCTATTTGCACACAATCTTTGAGTCGTGACTTCCAACGCTCCATCCTTCTTCCGTACCTGTTGTTGCTTCCTTTACTTCCTGTTGGTACTCTATTTATTCCTTGCTTTTGCTCTATTTGCTTTCCGTTTTCCTCTTCTGACTGTGAGACTTCTTCTTTCACGTCCCTTCTTATACTACTTATATCGTTCGTATAAGTAGCACACACCACGATGGTAAGGCGTTCGCCTACAATGCCAAAGGTCCCGGGTTCGAATCCTGCAAGGAGCAGGAGTCGTGGATGCCCACTGCTGATGATTCCCATACCAGGACGAAACGGCCGTCCAGTGCTTCCAAGTTTCTAATGGTGGTCTAACAATGATTGATTGATGACTTCAAATGTGTATTACAGTTTTGTTTCTCACTAATGTGCTTTTGATTACTAATTATTGTTATCAGAATGTCATTGAAATAAGGAATAATTCATTCGAGAGTGATAACGTTGATATGTTGTTAAATATTAGAGTTGATTTTCTGTTTTTTCTATAAACTAATCGAAAATTCGAAAATTGATCTATGAACTGTAAACTAGTTAGTGTTATTTCAATGATTTTCAACCATAATTTAATGAAGTTTAATGAACTTGATTAATTCTGTATAATTTACAGCTTACAAACAATGAAGTAAGTGGATTTTTGTTTTCATGTAATTGATTGTTACAAATGTATTTCACAACAAAATGTTCACAACTCAATCATTATTCTGAGGATACTGACTTTGTAAAATGGGTCTATATAACATACTAATTATTAGGTAAAGGCTGCAGATCAATTAATGAAGTAGTGAAGTGGTTGCAATCTTTGCTACATATGCCTAAACACTGACTACCCGAACGAGCTATGTAGAGGTAGACTGAAAGAAAGCTAGAAGTGGCCAAATATAACCATGTCACAAATACATGAAGTCATTGACAACCAGACTGAGTCATGTTAGCAGGGTTAGACTACTTGGTTAGGGCTCACGAGACAATAGTAAACGATAATTAGAGATTCTGAATGACATTGGCTGGAAATCGTTTGCAAACGGCGTAGACGTATCTATTCTTTGTCACCTTCTGAATTTCTCATACCTTTGTTCACTACCTGAGTTCATTTCACTGTATTATACTTCGTGAATGATATCTTTGAACTTTAATCTTTACGTTGACTGATTATACTTTTACTACCTCTACCACTATGGGATTTGAATTGACAATTGCATTTATGTGCTAACGTGGTATGGCAACTTGAACTGATATACATACGAACATACGAAGTTCTAGGTCGTAGCTGACTGACTGATTGACTGAACATACTAAGACGGTGAATTGTCTATCCTGAGACTGAATCTCTTAGAAATTTCAATCAATCGATTTTTTGTAATAAAAATATATAAAATATTATTTTTATATACATCAACAAGTCACTACGTTTTATCTACGATTTAGAAAATCATATTATACTTTCTTTCTTTTTCACACACAAAGATTCTTGATTCTCAGTGTACTGGTGTTCATTGTCAGTACATCCGTGAACAGTGAAGACAATCAAATCTACCTACTGCATGTTCGATACTTACCAACACATTGTTATCAAAGAGACGACGTATGATACTAATATTGATTGTAAACATGTTTTGTTGAATATGTGTTTTTGTCTATCGACTTACATTATTTGATTTGACCCTGTAATCAGTATTTAAGATAAACATACGAATCGTAAAGGTTAGAAATTCCTCAAAATAAATAATTCATGTTTATAACAGGGTTACCTTAATCCAGTTATCTTCTAGTTACGTTGACATACTGTTCTAAATGATTTGACAAGCACAAATGACTTCCAGTTTGTAGTTTGCCAACCTTCCCTCAAAGTGAAAACTATTTTTACCTATTTCAATTAGGTGATAAAAATATGTTTCAACAATGTCGTTAGACGCTAATGTATGATTAATATGGACATATGTGATCTGAAGTATGTGAAATACCACACATTTTGAACAATTCGATCAAATATGTCTAGTCAGTCGAAACCAAAATTAAAAAAGTTCAATTAAAGAAAATTTCAACTAAATATAAGCTGAAATCAATCATAGTGTTGAAGGATTAGGAAATTGTTGCACTACTGTAGGCCATAAAATGACTTAAAAACTACGAGGGCTAACTGAAGGTCACGACAAATTGATTCTAAACAGATAAAGGGTGGTCTAAATTTGTGAATAACCAAATATTCATCTCTATACAGTGACTTAAAAGTTGTTTTGATATCAGTTCTATCCCGAGTTATAAGTACGTATGAGAGTCGAACTCAGGAATTTCGGTCTCGTGCGTTGTTAGGATATTCATCCAATATCCTAAGAGAATTATTGGTCAATTTCTATTAGTTAGTTCCTACTGGTCAATTTTATGGTCGTCCTAGACATCAATGTCACGTGCTTCGATGTTGTTTTTTATTGGTTGTCCTGACTATCATTGTCACTTCAAATGTTGCTTCCTATTGGTCGTCTTAACTGTTTCCTATTCAACCAAAATGTATAAATACGCATTATCTGTAACTTTTTGTGAACAGGACCAGGACCCGGTCCCAGATCCCTAGTCCGAGATCCTGATTTTCTTCTGGACTCGGACCTCGTACTTTCTGGATGCTTGTAGAATACAGGTTCTACTTCATATCAAGTCTTCTTCTCTCACTCAATGGGGGTTGCGATAATCGGATTAGAGTAGCATGTCGTGTCACCGGTTACTCGATCCTCGCTCTCCTTTCCCGACTAAGGTAAACTCGTAATAGTCCAAGCATATCGAAATGACGTGTATACGTGCAGGCGTAACATGCGTGAACTACTATCCTTTAAGCTAGTGACCCGTCATTCAAAGATATCAGTGTTTCACTCCGATGCTTTCAAAATATTTGTTCATCTAATAAATGTTAATATTCTCCTTTCAGTGTGATATATCAGCGAATAATACATTTGACATTAGTAAACTAAGGTAAGCTAATGAATTATTAAACTCATTGATTTCTTGTTTTCTGAACGATGATTGTTTAACAGCATATCTTCATGGAATTCTATTCACTTGCGATAAGTTTGCATTTCTGAATCAAATTAACTGTTAGAATGCTCGAAAATCAGCCAGTGTTTTTTGGTTAAATGACGCTGATTATCTGATTTTAGTTAGAAATTTACATCGGACATGTCAATTACGCTTTGTTACGGAGACAATCCATGAAAATCTTCTATTAATCAGATATCATAATCAGCTTCTTAAACAGTGTCCACGGAAAATCAAGTTAAGTTTAGTTGGAAAGTCAATGAAACAGAGGTATTCAACCGTTACAGGTGATGAAGACTCTGTAAATGTCGATAAATTTTGAAAATCTCATCATTCTAATGTTTGAAATATCGAAACAGTTTGATTGTAATAATCTAGGGGGAATATATTTAAGTATAAATGGACGGTATAGGTTTTTCTATCCGTCTGCCTATGTCCAATAAATTTTTGATATGCAACGCGTACTTCTTTGAATAATCTCCACATCGCTTTAATTCTACACGAATTTTTATCTTACTAACTTAAGAATGAAACCTCAGAAGCGCTGGATGAGACAAGGATGTCGACATTATAACAACTTCCTTGATAGTGCGGTAATTAACTATATAAATTCTATCTGAATGTCTATCATCAGGACAATCACAAATATTTGTTTGATTTCACAATATACATAAACTCTACAAAATCTTTCACTAGAAAAGTAACATATGTAGTTAGCACAACGTGTAAAAATGACTTTACTTATTGATTAGATAGAGATTTTCATGCATTTCAGCTTTAAGCAATGGTTTATTTATGATGTAAAAGGTATTTATTGTACAAGGTTACTATTCAGTGGGGGTTGCATTTGAATTATAAGTCACTGAAGACTTTTTTTCAATAGAAATTACTTCATTACTCCGTTCAATACAACAATTATATTTATTTGTATGATAGAACAATGGAGATCGTTGTTTATACACATTGAAATCATTACTGAATCATTGTTAGAACACCATTAGAAACCAGGAAGCTGTGGACGGCTGTTTCATTCTAGTTTGGTACTCATTAACACTGTGCGTCTACAAACCCATGACCTTCAGTCATTAGAGCAAACGCTTAACCTCTAGACCATTGAACTGGCGGCATCCAGCGGTGTTATTGTTTAACTCTGACCAATCGAAGGATTTTGTATAACTACATCCATTGTCTTCTGTAGTTACTGTCTACATTCGATAGGGTTGAACTTCGTTAGTCACGTCTGCTCACTAGAATCCAGAGGTGAAGTGTCCGCGTGCACTGATGGAATAAACTACTTAGTGAGAAATGAAATGCATACAAAGCATAGATTTTTCAATTTACTTAAAAACAATCATATATTTCAGTGAATTATTTATTCTGCAATTGATAATTCTCTTCATCATTTTGTTATTTTCATATTTTCATCTATTTTTACTTGAAATTCCAGGGTGAAATCTCAAATGTGCTGACACATTGGAATAATATCGATGACCACACTTTCTATTAGTATGTTACTTTACAGATGTTTTCCTATGAAAAGTGTTCCACTTTTTTCTTTTGATAACATCTAATTTACAAATTTATCATAAATTTGTCAGTCTGTAATGGTTTGATGTTAGTTACATAACCTGGAGGCAAAAGATAGCTGTTTTTTGTAGTATAAGACTGCTAAGCGGTGCACATCCACAGTTCTATCAATGATCGGAGCTGGGATCACAAATTCTCATGGCAAGCATTTTCACCTTTAGGCTGAAAAGCAAAATTCCAGTGATTTGTGCATCTTACTTCGGTTAATTTGATATATGGCGTAACCAACTTTTAATCGCACTAATGAGTAAGTACGGCACACCCAACATCATTGAGTTCCATAGACCATGATGTAACATTAGAATTACTGAAAATACCACTGGAAGTAAGTCACTAGTTAGAATATGCTGCTGATCTTGGCTATAAGGCATTGTAGAGATTGATAAATTCCATAATTTACTTCACGTGCTGATCTCAGTTCGGGAACCTATGAAAATGATTGACAATTAGTGCATTTCATGAAAAAGTAGAGGGAATCGAATGACAGTTTCACCTTGGCAAAACGCTCCTTAACAGTGTATATCTTCAGTCAATCTATGATGTAACCGAGAAGTACATGGTTTTGTAGCTGGCATCTTATTGTTACATGGTTACGTTTGCACCCAACAGTTCCGATTCATGACTCCAATCACTTCACAATCTAGTTCAATTATCCATGATGAATATCGTTTAAAAAACATATAAATCAATCTTCACAAACCCTAAAATTAAAACTTAAAATCTATAATAGAAATTATTAAAATAAGTTTATAATGCTTCTAAATTTCCAAGTGAAGTTATGAATGTGTTTGAATGTTGTTGAAGGTGGAAGATATAGTGCACATAATCTCGAACATATATTATTCAACAAATTTACACATTGTTAAATTACTTAACTGAAAAAGGTAATGTATGATAAAATATAGCTGAAGGTATATCTTGTGAATGATTTCACAGTTTTCTGCAGTAAGTAAACCAACAGTCATAATCTGACTGATACCAGTATGCCTAATGAAGATGATTTTGAATACAAGAATTAATTGGAGTAGATGGTAGTTAGGATGAATTTAATGGGTCGACGAACCTAAACTTTGAGTGAAGTAGTTATATGAGTCATTGGTGACTGTTCTACAACTTCAACCTGTGTAATTTACGTAAAGGTGATAGGTTAGTAAGCGAAAGTATATTAGACTGATGAGAAAAAACTCATCATTGTCAAAATACTGTATTCTTTTATTCAAGTATACCACAACATAAAGATGACGATAAACGTTTGCCGTTCCTAGATAATCAATTATCGGTCTATCTCCTTCTAGTTACGATATGTATACAGAATATGGAGCATGTACAGTTATGAATGGGAGTGAACCGAGTGCATTCCTTTACTTTCAACTGGGTGATTCACTTTTCAAGAACATAACAACTCTTACGTATGTCTAAATGAAATATGTGTTTTTATTTAGTCAATTCTGTTCTATTTGTTGATAAAATTATTTTTTCTATTAACAGTTGTTCCATAATTCTTTTCCTTATTGTGTGTTTGTTGTGACCTGTTGAATGTGGAGGAAGTCGTTTACTGTTTGACTGGATACAGTGGCTATTTTGATCACTAGTCCCATTAAGATAGATGATGTAGAAGTGATCAACAGTGTGTTTTGTAGTACCTCACATACATTCGAGTTTGTATAGATTTTCCATTTGGCAAGGACCTTTTGGTTAGCTTATTTATCAGTATGAGTCATTCGTAAATCAATAACTTATCTGTACCATTGTACTTTTGTTATTATTGCATTTGTATGAGCAGGATGATTTAGCATTACTTACCGCTTACACACATTCACTTTCATGTTAGCCTGTTCATTGACTCATTCGCTCATCCACTCACTCGCTTGCTTGCTGTTTAGCACTTACATACCATTTTCGCTTTAAGTGCCTCTGCTTTTGTAATGAACGTGTGGTGCGATAATAAGCCTAGTAAACGCTTCGTATTCATTTTCTGATTAACACACCATTGGAAGTTATCTATTAAAGGTTGTTAGGACAAGCAGTGTACAAGGTTTAGGTAGATATTGAATAGCGACCACCACAGCTTGTATCACATTAAACATGAACTTTATCAGAGTGAGACATGTATTTTATCTAGTTAGTAAGATGTTCCGTAAAATCCATACCTGTTGAAAAGTAGTTCAAATCATTTCGGATTATTTACATATTTGATGTAAAGAAAATTTAGTACAATTCCGTTTTTTGATTTCAGATTGGCTAGGAATCTAAATATTATTGAAAATGGCAAAGTGTATGAGGTAAATATTGTAAAAGTTTTTAAGATGATTTATTGATCAATGTTAATTGTTTTAACCTAATAGTTTGTCAATATTCATTATTCATAGACTGCAAGCATCGAGAGCCTTCTGCTCAATGAATTCGGTGTGCAACCAAAAATAATCTGCGCTAAGAATCAAGTA